TTTGAAATCACTCAACTATTTGCTTGTTAAATCAGGTTTACAGTTGCTTTTTTTTCCAGACAACGGTCTTTTCTGGTGAAGTTTCTCTTCAACTCTTACCTGGCTGACAGTTTCGGCTGTCACTTCAGCCTTCATCGGAGCTGTCTCTGCTTCCTTGTGACGTGTCTAAAAAACAGCGATTGGTTTCTTGTTTGTCGTAAATAGAGTAACAAAATTATTGCAAAATCTCAACGTCATTTATGACACATTTCACATTTCAGTACAGATTTTCGCAAGGATCATGCAAGTTGACACGCATGATTTTCTTTCGCGGGCCACATAAAATGATGTGGCGGGCCGGATCTGGCCCTGGGGCCTTGACTTTGACACCTGTGTTTTAAATGGACTCAAGTTTTAAAAGCGCTCTCTCCTCCTTCAGCTTGTTCGTGGCTATTTTTGTCCCATAAACATAATCAACAGTTTTTGAGATTTCTTCTGTCTTTTGCTACTCATGACACCTCGTTTAACTTACCAAATTCAGTTCTTTTCATTTGCATAAAACATTTTTCAGCATTCCAATTTGTTGGCACGTGGCGTGTTTTTATAGCTCAGTACATGTACCACTTTTTGTACTATTTAGGTTTTGCATTTACTGTACTGTACTGTATTGCCTTTCCGCGAGTAGAGGGCGCTTTCAACTTCCAAAATTAAAATGTAATTCTCATCCATGGTCAGCAGAGGGCTATCTCCACTGTGTCCATTGAATGCAGTACGGAAACTGAACTAATCAACGAAATTAAACCCTTGTCCAAAAATAGATAAATTATCCGGTAGAACACATCCAGTACATTATAACGAGCTTAAAAAAAACATCATTTTCATGGGTTTTACTTGGCCAGAAATGTCCATAATGTATGCTGTATTTACAGAGCTGAAGTTACAAAGTCAAACAAAAATCCCCTCTTGGGGAGTTTCATTCCATTTGTATTACCGCAAAAGAAAAACATTGAGTGAATAATTAGTTAATATATTATTAATTGGTACGGTACTTGTTTTCATGTACAGTATGATTATTTTACCTTTTTTAAAACAAATTATAAACTGCATCAAATTCAATGTAGTTACTGTACATTCATTTGTGCTTTTCCTATACTTGAATCAGTGACACTTGATTGCTGATCGACTTAAAATGGAAAATGTTACGTCCAGAATGCAACGGTTAGATGTAGTTGTACTGTAGTTTGGTTTAAGCGGTTTTAATTTTATGGGGTGGGGAGGGGGGCGTATGACGACAGGCGGCGAAGTGACGTGAGGCATGGCGCCCCACGAGGTTAGATCACTATGGCAACTGGTACCCGACCGCCGGGTGGGTCACGCGGATTTGGTCAGTCCGTGTCATTAGTGGCCATGTGATGTTTTATCACCACAGTGCCACTTGTGTACCAGGGAAGCAGTCGCTTGAGTTTGCTGGGACAAATTTGTTTTGAACAGTTTTTGTTGTTTCAGTGTTGACCTCCATTAAGACCTAACGTGGTATGTGACTCCTTTACAGTTGTCGGCCACTGCATTAATCAATTTAACTCCGTGTTTAGCCAAGTTCACTTTTAATTGAAACTATTCGGGCAGGCACAAATCACACATTTGATCTGGATCTGTTCGACGTTTGTGTGTTGATAACGGCACAACAGAAATGGACCCATGCTGCATGGGAGCTGTTTCTAATACAGTACTGCGACAATAAGAATAAGAATAAGAATAACATGTAATACGTTGAATAATATTCATGAATTAAGGTTTAGGTTTAGAAACAGGTGGAATGTTTTTTTTTCCTGAAACATCAGAGCGATAAATTACAATGCATGGTAAAATCTGGATTGTGCACGCTTTTATAGGTCAAATTTAAAAACGAAAATATCAAAACCTGATGTGGTAGAAAAAATAAACAAAGACATTTTTGAAATCAGCTTAAAAATTACTTGTAGGTATTGATGGAAAATTATGCTTTAAATTAGCTTCATGAACCAGATATTGTATTTTTTGACACCTTGAGGTGGGACCCTCTGTTGAAAATTGGCCTGAAAGCTGTTATATCCTGTCCTGTATGCTCTCTTTTTTTTCAAGCTCCAGCTGGAGAGTGGGCGTTCCCTCACGAGCCACACTTGACACTCATCATGCCTCATTACCAGCTGCCATATATACTCTGCTTCACAGAGAACTAGCTGTGGATTATTAGCCTTGCTCAGACTCTGTCTCCAAATACTTGATTTTCTAGAAGTTCTTGACATTTTGCCTCATAGCTTCTTGCCACGTTTTTTCTCGTACAGGGTTCAGAGAGACAGTTAATATGTATATCGGTCCATATCAACAACAAATGTGGAAACTCGAAAACACTACAATGACACATCTGGATTTGGATCTCCCTCATGCAGCCCCAGAGTGACAGGCTTAATGTCAAAAACATCAATAGCAGAATTAAGCAAACTTAACACTCAAGTGTCAGCAATTCTTTCTTTCTGTTCCTTTTTTCGTTGTTTTTAGGCATACAGGTATTTCATTTTTAAAAATGTATTTCAATGTATGAGAAGTTCACTGTAAATTGTGGCTGTTATTTGTTATCCATTTTAGATGAATTGGCACTTGGAATTTAAGCAGATCTAAATGGGACAGGATAATGGAACCATTCACTGTCAATGGATGCTACAGCTTCTTGATTACTTTCAAATTTAACTTGTAGCAGACATGTGTGACACAATGCCCCCAGTGATCATGATGTCTCTGATCCACTGTGAAAGGAGACTTTGAATCTCTCCTCTTTCATCTGCAACCACTTCAAACAACAAGCCGTATGAAGGAATAGTGTTTCGATTGTGTTGTCAGTGTTTTGTGTGATGTGTTCTGTTGTATTATTGTAAGGTTAAATGTTTTGTAAAGTACTTTGTTACAGTTGCAGCTGTTATGAAAGCGAGAAACAAATAAAGATGTATTGAATGTCTTATTTAATCAATTATATTTTTGTCAAAAAGGCGTTTGTAGGAATACAGTGGTACCCCTACTTACGAACGTCTCTTTATATGAAATTTTCAAGTTATGAAATGCCTCAACGGGAAAATATTGTCTCTTGTTACGAAAGAAATTTCAAGATACGAAAGGTAAAAATACAGTATAGGCTGCTGCTCGCAGCTCCGAGTTTCATGAACGCAACATACTAATAGCTGCTCTGCCATTGGCTACTACCCATCATTATTCTGGCATCCCATTGGCTAAGAGAGACTTCTACCATTTGTGTCTATGGGTGCATATAGATAGATATGTGTCTGTGCTGCGTCCGAATCGATTGCCCCTCGGGTTAAGAGGTGTTCGGATAGTTTTACCTAAATGTGAATCATCAAAGGATTGTTAAAAGCGGACAAATGCAAACGTCCTTGGATCAGTTAGTTCTTTACAAAACGCCAGGCAAAAAACACTTCTGAGAGAGAACATGAACTAAAGCGGGCAAAAAAGGATGAGGACGTAGTTAAAACTTAAACAACCATCATTTTTATTCTTTATTCTTTGTTTTTTTTTTTTTTACATTATGCACAACTCTGATTTATTGTGCAATAATCTAATTGTAAGATGTATTTGCTACATATTTTGATGCATTTTTATGCTTTATAAAACATTTATGTCTGGATTTTGGGGGGCTTGGAACTGATCAGGGCATTTACATGGAAAACGTGTCTCTGCTTACAAAATTTTCTAGTTAAGAAATTTCTTCCAGAACACATTAATTTCGTAAATAGAGGTGCCACTGTAGTTGTTCATTGTTGTAAGTGTTTTTTGTATGAGTTCTGTTATTGTTTTGTTGATATATGTTCTGTATCGTGCTTTACAGCTGCAGCTGTTGTGAATGTGCTATACAAATAAAGATATATTGTTGTATATGTGTCACTTATTTAATAGATATTTTTGTTTGGCCATCGTCCTTTTTTTCACCTCCATGATCGTTCACTTCTGGCCTTCAAGGATCTATAACTACCCAAGTGAATAGTAGCCTACACCAGGGGCCCCCAACCTTTTTTGCCCCACGGACCGGTTTATGTCAGACAATATTTTCAGGGACCGGCATTTAAGGTGTGGTGGAAATAATACAACAAAATAATACGGTATGAGCTGCATGAAAACTGTGGTGTTTTCGAAATATAATAATAAACACAAGGAGCGTCTAATCTGGCCGCAACACTCCGATCGCTATAGCAATGTTTAATGCCTTCAAAATACGATACAACGCAAATTCAAAGTGCATGAAAATGACGACTCACCACAGCACCGAGCTTAATTTTCTGCAACCAGACGGTCCCATCTCGGGGTAATAGGAGACAATGACACCTCAAGTGTGTGGTTTATGTCCAGTCTACTTCGTAATTTTGTTTTCGTCGCCGTTGCTGCAGAAACCCCCCGCCTCACACAGGTAGGATGTCGGAAATAGCAACAGTGCTATTGTGGCGATCTCAGAGTATTCAGCCATAACTTTAATCCAGTTGTCTCGAACGTACTTTTAAGGCCGCCGTCATTTGCGATCTCCAGCAGTTTTTTTACTCATTTTGCTAGCTCCTGTGTTTGTTTTGAAGTAATCGGTCACGTGACGGAGAAGCGTGGCTTGATGTGTGTCAAGTGTGACACAGACGGATGTAACGGAGAATCCGGTAGTTTTTCAAAATAAAACATCTTTCGTTTTCCGAAATAAACAAAACGGAATTAAGGCAAGTTCTTTCTGTGCGGCCCGGTACCAAATGCCCGGCGGACCGGTACCGGTCCGCGGACCGGCGGTTGGGGACCCCTGGCCTACACTGTACATCAGGGGTGTCCAAACTCGGTCCTCAAGAGCCAAATGTCCTGCCTGTTTTCCATCTCTCCCTGCAGCTACACACCTGATTGAAATGATCAGAAGCTGTGTCTTGCTTCCTCAGAGCTTGCTGATGAGCTGATCATTTGGATCAGGTGTGTTTTCAGGAGGAAAAGATGGAAAACATGCAGGACGTCGCACCGCGAGGACCGAGTTTGGATATCCGTGACTTACATAAGTAGGGGAGGAAACCCGGCGGGATACTTGTGGATAAGTATTAATGATCCTGCACTTGATTTTTTTGATGTAAATGTCCAACAGGAGACATTTGATCATTCCGTCTTTCGAATGGGAACGTCTTGTTCGATAGTTCTCATGCTGTGAGAAGTGCACTGCGAATTAATTCTAGCGAGTGAAAATGTGGCCCAAGTAAAGCGGGAGTCTCGCCAGCCCACTCCTCTCTCTTCTCCTCCCCGTGCCTCCCGGCCTGCCTTCGTCCGCACCTCTCACGCGGGTGTGACATTTTCCGAGCGCCTCATAGGAGTCCGCAAGGCAGCGCGCGGACATGACGGACAACAAACTACCGGACCCGCCCGCCGACCCAGACTCGACTGCAGCAAGGCAGCCCACGGGGGGAAACGGTCAGTGCGAGCAGGCGGACTCTCCCAAGCAGCGAGAAGACCATCCGCGTCATCAGGCCAGCAACGGCAGTCAGGGAGAGCTGATCAAGATGGACCAGGAGATGAGGATTACCGAGAGCATCGAGGACGGAGGTAAAGTTGACACTGGGCGGTACACGCCGTGGTGCGTAAAGGCCATTCTGTGCCAAATGCCAAGGAAAAGTCTTGACACTTTTAGGCAGAGAGCATCTTTGGAAAGAAACGCATCTTTATTGTAAAGCAGTGCATATGCATAGTTTGAATATCAATTAATTCGCTTGAATATCAGCGGGATGGGCTGAACTTAGCCTATGTGGTTCAATCAAAATCTTAATAAGTGGTTGAAAACAGAGTTATAACAAAAAAAAAATCAAACACAAAGATTGTTTAAAAGTTAAATAGCTACACCTAAACTCTCACTGTACATCGTAGAAAAAAGTCGCAGGCACTGCAACATTATGTAGTTTATCATTTCAGTTATTTCACATTCTATTCGAGGGGCCCTGCATACCATGTAGACAGTTTTAAACAAAGAAAGCATAATCATAATTATTTTGACATTGTAATAATCTTTACCTTTCATCTGCTTTTTGAAAGTTTTTATTTATTTAAAGTCACAAGTCACGATCATAAAGCAGCCATAAGCTGGCCTGTGCTCCTTCTTTTCCATAGCAAATCTTCAAAATCATCTATGCTGTACTCCCCCCACGTAGGTTGACATCGGCCAAAAAGCTTGACAATTTGCTGTCCCTCATACATGCTTCCTTTCTGACTTGGCTACATCGATGAACTGTAAGATACAAAGTTACCAGCAGCGTGATGCGAAACTCACAGTGCCCCGTTTTCATGCCTGCAGGTCTTTTGGAGAGCAGCATGCGCCTGAAACCACACGAAGCACAAAGCTACCGCAAAAAGGCCCTGTGGGTTTCTTGGGCGTCCATCGGAGCCACGATCATCCTGGCGATTGCCGCCTTCAGTAAGTGACTGGCCTTCGAAATGTTTTAACTGCAAATTAACGAGATCCAATTCAAGAGCTGCATTATACTGTGTATTCAAAGAAAATGCTGTTCAGTTTGAGTGACACTGTGAAGACATGGTCTCATTTTACAATACGTTTATTGCTCTGTATTACGGTTGTCGTTTGCAGTGGTGTAAAACACCACTGCATGTCACCGACAACTGTTCTCTAATATTTTGACCCTCTTGAAAATGGTAAAAAAAATATGAGAAATACATTTTGGAATAATGTTGAGCAGCTCTACTAGTGGTAATGGAGTACTACCATAATGAATGAGGTTTTTGATTGAAATATACTGCACACCCATTCATTCTGTCTTCAGTACTATGCATACTACTTGTACTATGAATAATGACTAGAGTAGCACATAATACAGTGCTGACCTTTGTGGAGTGTAGAACTGTTAAAAAAATAAGTGAAGAAAGAAACCAAAATTGGGAAGCTGAGCAGTTTCTCAAATTAGTAATGTATGCTTGGACAAGAACGAAGCATTAGATGACAATGAATGATGATCTTAAAACGATAGGATCTGCTGACACACAGTTATGTCTCACACTGCAAAATATACAATCAAACTCAAATGAAATATCTAAAACGGTGTCAAACTCATTTTTGGCGCGGGCCACATTTTAGTTACCGTTTCACTTGGAGGCTGTTATGACTGAAACCATATAAAGAAGTCAAGAATAACTGTTGATTTAACTATTTAAGTTACTATCATGAGGGGTTTGGTCACAATAAAATGCTTAGAATATATCTCTTATTTATTCCATATGAGAATTTAAAATTTTGGTAGACATTTTAGAAAGGATCATGGAAGTTGACATGTTGGAGCTGCTTTGGCGGGCCACATAAAATGATGTGGTCGGCCAGATCTGGCCCCCAGGCCTTGAGTTTGACACCGGTAATCTAAAATTTATCGAAGCAGGCAGTTTTTTTTTTTTGTGGGAGAGCATTTCATTTCCAACAAATATTTATTTGCCCTAGAAAATTTCAATTGGGTTTTATAAGTTTGTATTGGGATTTTATTGCTGGTTATGAGGAAGTCTAGCAACATCCATCCATCTAGTATCTGAATCGCTTATCCTCACGAGGGTGGCGGGCATGCTGGAGCCTATCCCAGTGGTCTTCGGGTAGTCGTCGGGGTAAGCCCTGAACAGGTTGCCTGCAGCCAATCGCAGGGCACACATAGACAAAAAAACATTTAAACTCACAATCGCACCTAAGGCCAATGTAAAGTGATCAATTGACTTCACACAGGAAGACCGGAGCCTGGATTTGAACCCGTGACCTCTGCCCTGTAATGTGGATGTGCTAACCAGTCGTTCACTGTGTCGCCTGTTTATCGACATGAAATGGCAAAATTCTACAGGTTTATGTAGTAGAGATGGGATCAACTCACAAGTCGTAACCTTCAAGTCTCCAGAAAGTCTTTTTTTTTGTCTTGGACAAGTCAAGTCCAGTCAGCTAATTAATGCCTGCAGTATCGGTTTTTCATAAAGAGAGAACAACAATCACATAGATACCCATCATTTGAACTGCTATTTGTTCAGCTGCCATTTTGAAGGTCAAACAGGTTAAGCGACAGCAGGTTTGAAACTCAAGAACTAGTGGGTCAAATCTTTTAATAATGGTTGTCATTTTAATTTCAGCAATATTATACATTTTACAAATCTACCGTAATTAAATGTGCTTAAGCCCAAACGCCCGAAAGACCAGACACCCCATACCTAGTAAAAATAAAAATTGGTGTATGTTGTAGTACAGGAATGCACTGATGTGTATATTAGAGAAACTTGGCAACCACTGAGATGATGTGTGCTACAACACAGATGGGCCAACTGTTCACGCCAAGCCTCAGCGAGCCGTGTTCATGTCACTATCGTGTTTTCCTATAAAGTACCAGTAATGGTCCTGATCCTTCCCCCCCCACCCACCGACCCCTCAGATAAAGTTGGTCCAAGGATAACAACTTATGTGATCCATTTCATGAGGTGATGTTACTAAAAACATTTTTACTGAGCTTAAGAACAGGCTATAAATGTACAACTATTTACTGGACACAAAGGGTCTTCAAATGAAAAACAAAGGTAGATGTTGAGGCGAGCGGTCTGTTGTCCGTGAAAAAAAAATTACAACCAGCTGTTCGCCATTTCAGAAAACGCAGTGTCGTTTTACGAGCCAAGGTTTGTCAAGCACAACAGCATACCAACGAGACAATATTGAGCCACCTGTCTGACATGGCAAGGCGTATCTCTGAATCACGAGCATTTAACTGATTGGTAAGCCAGTGCTCCAATCATTCATTTCACGATTGACAGGCGAATCCTTCGATCGTGACAAGTGTCATTTTTTGTTTGCGCTCGCTACAGCAACATTAACAAGTTAATTTCATATTTAATGTTTAAAATGAGCAACAAGCAAGTCGTCATGTCTGAGGTCAAGGCACAAACAAATGATCATCCTCGAGACCCCTCCTCTGGTATGCCATATAAAATGCGTTCGTTTTAAGACATCGGGGGAGGGTTTTTTTTAAATTTTTATTTTTTTTTAAGGCCACCTTTGTTTACTTGTTTTGAGGAATCTTAGCAAGTCAATTTTGTTTTTCTGTCTTATTGGCAGATAATATATTAAAATTAGGTCATATATTTCCCAACTGATGTTTTTGTATAATTTTTTTTTTTTTTAATCCCAGTTGTTGCAATATCTGTAGTGCAATTTTAACAACGTAATGTGAGGATGACCGGACCTTACCATCTTTTAATTTCTTAAACTGCAAGAGTGCTGTCACCGTAAGACCATTATGGGCCCTTTTGACATTTAGAACATGATTTGAGTTTAAAATTCAGTCGTTATTTTAACGGGGTTACACTCTGTACCTTCAATCATTGGAGTTTAAACAGGTTCAAAATGAGTCCTGTTCATGTTGTTGAACACCACGCTGTCCCCTTCCTTTTCTGATACGGTTGCTGCAGTGGCAGGCTAGCCGGGCTCATATTTGGCCTACGTGTCATGTGAATGTTAGACGAGTGGAGCTGTGCGTGGCATGCATTGATGTCTTAAAGGAGACAGACCTCTCCGCTTCAAGCTGAGCTGTTTCATGTGTAATATTATGAATTCGGACTTGTTAACACAGTGTCATTAAATGCAATGGCATCATCTAACCGTAGCCAGTTTTGATGTAGAGCCTAGATCACCATCTGCTGCCATTCCCTGACAGATCCGTTCTGTGTCAAACATTAGCATTGCAGTGCTCGTGCGTGTGAAACTTGTCATGTGCAGCAGTGCCTTGTTTACTTTATCACACTCGCGTGCTGTATCTCCCCTTGGCATTTCCACGGACACCTAGAATATCATTTCCAGCTCCTGCACTCCTGTTGTTGCTACTCTTTGACAGAATTTGAGCGAGTGGGGTGCGATGAGCTAAAATTTAGGTCTGTGTTGGTTAAAACACCTCGGCAGCACAAGAGTTTTAGCAGTATTTTAAAATGAGCACACGCGCTTGTCAAATGTGACAAGCATGCAGTAGGAGCCAATTAACGACTGGTAGGCTCAGCTTGTCGACTTTTTTTATGCTATTCCTCCTCTCGGCTCCTAATGAAGGAATCAGGAACCATGAAGTGAGGAGGAAGAGATCGACCTATCTGAATCCTATCTGCAGCTAATGACAGTTCAGGCACAAGTGTTCTGCCTTCGCCAAGGGATGGGCAAAACTTGGTGTCCAGGGATCACATTTGATTTTTAAAATCAGACAGATTGGACCAGGGTAAAAAAAAAAGAAAAAAGAAAAAATGTGTATGATGTATCTTACTAGATTTTTAAAATCTTATTTAACATAAGTCACCATCATTTTTGTTAACTTTTCTTTTGATGGCGGCGCGGACACCTCGCACCATTCAAAGTACTTATGAAATCAGTTAATTACAACAAAATGAATTACAGCACCTCAGGATCGCACGCAAAGTCTGCCTTTATTTACTCATAGCTGAGCTAACCTGGGTATTTTGGTGCCCCGTCCACCGTCGAAATTGGCAAACTCCCTTGCTAGTACGGTGTGAGAGGCCAACAGCGAGTAAACAAAGGCGTCGATACACTGCTTAGCTGGCCTTCATTGACTGACTTCTTAACAGGGGGAATTTAGTGCTTGTTTCAACGCAGCCTGCTTTCACACACAACATGCACTCCCGACATACTGCAGCAACCTTTTCATGTTCTGCAGTTTTCTATGGTCTGGGGGGCCTGTGAAGGTAATAACAGAGATGACATTGGAGGGCAGGGAATAGGGAAAAGAGAAATGACATTGACATTTGTTTTGGGGTCACCCGTTCTGACTCTCATCGGAAAATTCTGATTCGGCAGTCGAGTCAGCACCGATTCATGCATATACCTAATAATAAAATGAATATACAATAAAATCAACCAATGTTAAGGTGACAGAAATCTGGAATTAATTCAAGAACAAAATTACAGGACTATTAATATTAACTATTATATTAATAATGTAAATACTGAAGCGGGACGTGTGCGACCAACGGGCCTTACTTTGCTCGCCACTGTCTTAGGCATTGTTCAATGTCCTTCACATGCAAACTGTAGCAGCAATCTTAATGAGCAGGAGACTTTCTCCCTGTTTGTTTTAGAAATATGACACCTTGCAACCCATCCCCGCCCATTCATACTTGGTCTATGCTACCATGTTAACAGCTCGTTTTTTTCAATGTATATTACCAAGTAATCATCAATTAATTGTGTGCTGCTTTTCATCGCACCCAAACAAGACCTGCATCAAAAAGATAATTTTCATTTTTTTAATTCACACTGCGATTGTACTTTGCAATTTACTACTCTGTAGTGCACAGCACAACAGCGTGGCAGTATCATTGACACGAGGTTGTGCACTACAGTTCTTTTTCCTCAACACCTTGATTACAAATAGCCAAGCGGGTTGGTCATACTGCCACGAATGGTGTGATAGAAACCTCCACGATCGTGTTCAATGTATGATGAAACACAAGTGGAAAGGCTATACTAGAGTAAGATGATGAAAGAGGAGGAGGAAATGGAGGATTTTTCTATTTTTCCAGCACAAGTGGCATGAAAGGAAAGGGAGCGCTTTGCATGCGTAGCTGAGGAGGGGTTGTCAGCCCCCCCAGAGACTCTCACTAAAAATAAACCAGGGAGGAGAAGAACCCTCCCCACTTCCCATTTGCATCTTGCTTCCTCTTTTGTCTCCTCTTCCCTCTGACTCCATTGCAGGTGTGAACAACCACATGCAGCAGTATTTACCGTTCACTGTGATTCATGAAAACCACTGGGCAGAACAGACCGTTCCAATGCATTTTAGAGCAGGTTTGCAGCAGGATCTAACTATAAAATAGTTTTAAAACAAAACAGACAGCACGCGAGCACTTGTTTATCCTGCACATTAAACTGATACAGAAATTCATCCAGTCATCCATCGAGGTGAGTCGTGTTCCATCCCCATTTTACATCGTGTTGCTGGTGCACTGCTTCCCCCTCCTGAGATGCCTGATCGTGGACTGTACTTTCCTCAAGCCATTTGTGAATCATTATTTATGGTATCACTGAACTCCTCCTACGCCTGAGAATTTGCCTCAGTGACCATCAAAACTGCTTTCCTCTTGGTACCCGTTAACTGCCTCTGGAGTCCCACAGGCTAAAAAAGCCTGTCAGGACTCCTCCTATGACTTGACAGCATCACTCACAGGCTATCTCCACCAACGATTCAGGGGTTACCGCAACGACAGACAGCGACCACCCTGCGGCCACACCTCTGGGTAGTCACATCAACAAGAAGCACGGAACATGTCAATGTCCCCTGCTTTCAACTGGGTTGTGGTCAAATGGGCGGGAGTTAAAACTTTTTCTGCCAGGCGTTCCCAGCAGGCCCTCACGTTATCTTTTGGTCTGCCAAATCGGTCAAGTAGCCTTCCTCACTATTATAGCCAAGACGCTACCACGTGGTGCTCAATTGACAACTCCGTCCCTCTCTTGTTCAGGAGATGTAGCCGCAAGTCTGATGAAACCATCACAGAGTAGATCATCAAACTGTTGCCTAACGGTGTCCTGGTACAAGTACATATATTGACACCCTTATGCTTGTATATGGTGTTCTTATGGTGTCTCATCTTTCTTATAAATTATGAAGAGTATATACAGTAAATCCAATAAAGAAAAGCACCATTCTGGGTTGAGATTTGGGGTGGGGGTGTTGGGGGGCATCCTCCATATATACCCACACCTCCTCAGTGCCTCTCGCTAGAGGCTAGCCCAGAGTCCAACCCCTCTCAAGAGGACCGGTTTGACAGTCCAATCCATTTGTCGAAAGTAAACCCAACTTTATCTCATTAGAACCTTGCCAGAGAGGTGATATCCATGTCGCTAGAGACAGTTTCTGTAGCCGGGTACTAGCCACAGCCTGGCTGGCACTGCACTGACACTCTTGGGCATTCCCACAGGTGGTGAGACCCTGGGAATCCAATATGTAGCCAAACAGAGCAAAAACTAGCGAGATTAAATAAGACAGTCATTGGCTCATTTAGATAGATTTTTTTTTTTTTCAGTTCAGACTTCTTCTTGGTCAATGTAGAACAGGGGTGCCTAACCTTTTTTGACCAAAGATCCACTCCCCGGATCGACCCATTCCCGTATGTGCATGCATACACATGCACGCGCTTGCACACTCATGTACGCATTCACACATGTATGCCATGATGACCAACAGCCATGCAGGTACCTAACATGAACGAAAGAGAAAAATAAAGTAGATGCAAGAGTGTGAGAGTTTGTGAAAAGGAAATCACAAGCTACTGCCAATAGGGACCTGACGCAGAGGTACGAGACGCACTTTTGCAGCGTGTTAAGTGTAGAAACTATTGTACGTACGTGTACCGTTTTAAAGTGCTACTCCTGGTGCTCCAGACTCCCATTCTTTGCCTGTGCCATCGGTGAATTGTACATGAAACAAACTCTGAATGAGAATAATGACAATAAAACATATAGCGCAACAGCTGTGATCCCAAGCTGCAATTGCAGACTTCTGACCGCTAACAACTTCCAGTGATGCAGATCATGCGCCACTGTAGGTAAAAGGTGACTGGCTTTATTTTATTTTGAAAATATTTTTTGGGGTCAAAGTGAAACTGATAGGGTGCAGTGTACAATAACCCAAAAATATATGAACACACACATAATTACACAAATCCTTCTCCCCCCCTTTCCCCCTACTCCCCTCACGATTGACTTGGGACCAGGCCGCGGGCTACTGGTTGATCGCGATCGACGTATTGGGCACCCCTGATGTAAAATGATATTCTCTCTTTGCCCATGCACGACTTGTCTAGAAAGCCACCACCACCACCACCGTCCTTCATTATCCCTATAAATGTGTGTGTCCGACTCATTTGCTTGTTCATAATAACTACTGCAGACAGGTAATTCAAACCCTAAAAACTACTCCACAATGTTGTGTATTTCATTCCATTCTTCTGTTTTCCAGCTGTCTCCATCATGCGACACAGCGCTTCTGCTTTTGGATTTGCTGTAAGTGGAATTCACTTGTTTAAATGCGTGTGAAATCTACACAAATATTCTTAAATGTCATTTGTGTGTCTTCAGTTTGACGCCACGCTGGATGTCCTCTCCTCATTTATTGTGCTGTGGCGTTACAGCAATGCTGCCGCCGTCCACTCTGCTCATCGGGAATACATGTGAGTCCTGTGTGTTGTGTAAACTTCACTTCATCGCGGGTTCCAGATTCGCAGTCCGGCTATTTCGCAAATGTTTTTGATCCAGTTGTAACCCAAAATATGTTGTTTACTTTGGAGTGTAATTCCACTTTCAGCCACTGTGGAGCTGACACAGCATCATGTATAGGGATAGGATCGTTAAGATTTTAACTATTTCTCACAATACTGCTTATCGATCCATTACTTTTATGGTATTCATATTGGTACTTTTTGGGTTTCTAAAAACAAGTTTAACAAATCTTGAATAAACTTATTTTTTCTGTATCAGTTAACTTGTATTGCATCTAAGACATTAAAATAAATAAATGAAAACAGTAATTTACCAAAAAAAAATGGTTTGAACAAATCACTGTTACATTTTTAACACTGATTTGTTAAACAAATATGTAAAAGAAAACTGGTTCAGAGTAACAGGGTCCATGTAGCTGGGCTGCAAAAAGCAATTACCTGCGGTGAGATCCACATTTACATTGTGTATTTCACTGACAACGGGGGTGGGTCTGGAACATAATCCTAATGATGGAGAGGAGTTTACCCTAGTCTGTCCGTTCAATCATGTGGGCTCTGCCTTGGCCCATTGGGACTAATTATAGATGAGCAGCTTGCATCTTATCACCACCTGGTTGTGTGTGCGTGTGCATGTGCATGCATGTGTGCGTGTGTGTAAAACACAGACAGACAGACATTCTACCAAAATAGAAACATGTTTTTCAAGAAAGTGCCTGAGAAGCATTTGTTAATTCCTACAGTTACTGTAAATGAGATCCGGCTCACAAATGCGACAGAAAAATAAAATGCATGTCGATCTCGCCCCCTTAATTAACATACATATTGTAGCCCACACCAAATGACATACTTCATGTTAATGGTTGCTTTCATGACTTGTCAACTTAGGAAATAGAGTTGCTAGCACTAGAGATCCTCCCTTCACAATTACCATCATCTGCCATGTTCACAAAGTCACAGTGGAGGAGCTGAATAATAACTGGTTGCCAAGGTAACACGCTCAAGATATTTAGCCAACGTGACGGGAACAGAGCGTCTACCAAGGAGATGTCTCAGATGTGCATCCACTGCATTTCCTGCTGCAGTAACCGGTGTGATGCTGGCTGTTACTGTCATCCATCCAATCATCCATCTTGTTCCTTGCACCTCATCTGACTCTTCTCAGTATGGACGAGCAGCAGCTCTGAGCCCCTCTTGGGTCACTGAGCATCTGACCCTATTTCTGAGGGAGAGGCCAGACATCCTGGTGAGGAAATCCATTTCAGCAATTGTCTTCTTGGATCTTGCTCTTTCTGACAAAATCTACAGCTTGTGATGATGGGTGAGCGTAGACGACTGGTAAATCAAGAGGTTCACTTTTTGGTTCAGCTCCTTCTTCACCACGATTGACATAGAAACAGAGAACACTGCAGATGCTGCACCCATTCGCTTGTCGATCAGCGGCTCCATTCTCCCCTAACTCTTGAAAAAGTTCCCAAGATTAGTGATGGGAAAATGAAGCTTCAAGACACTTCGATGGCACTGTTGGTTTAAAGAAAGAGGTTTAAGAAATAGCAAGTCAGTGTGCTTTTCGACTTATGTTGAACAGACAGTGCCATGTAGAGGAGTCAATATACACAACAGTTGGTGCATGAAGCATCTTGAAGTTTCGTTTTGCCATCATTACTCAACATACTTAAAAACACCTTCTCCTGGGGCAGGGTCTCATCCCTAAACTGGAGAGGACAGTCCACATTTTTCAGACTGACTACTATAGTCTCAGAGTCTGAGGTGCTAATTTTCATCCCAACCACTTCACTCTCAGCTGTGATCCACTCCAGTGAGAGTGCAAGATTACATATTGGTGGAGCCAACAGAACCACATTTGCAAAAAGCAGAGCTGTACGACTTGGATCACCAAAACGGACGTCCTCAATCCCTTGACTGCATATTGAAATTCTCTAAAATTAAAGATATGGAACACTCGAAATTGTCCCAACAGTAAGGGTGATTGTGCTCGTAAATGGTTGTTTGTCTCTGTGTGCCCTGCGATTGGCTGGCAACCAGTTCAGGGTGTATTCCACCGACTTCCTGAATACAGCTGGGATGGGCTCCACCATGCCCGCGACCCTCGTGAGGATGGATGGATGGATGGATCTTGGGGGTCTTTGAGCCGTGTTTAGCTTGGTACCTCCCCTCGGTCCTGTTTGCCAATATCTCAGCTCCAAGGATCATTGGGACAAGAGGCTGACATTTTTTCCGGAATCCTGCAGCTCATGGAAATCCCATGAGATTCATGCGAGATGAGAATCAACTTCACCTTCAATCATGGGACAGTACAGGATAAAAAGTTCACAGGAGCATGACGGAAAACGGGAAGAGGGAATATCCAGTAGAAGAGGGAAAAAAAACTCTGCGAGTCCACATGGAAGGGGGGTTAATGTAGCTGACCACCAAAATGGGAGCGGTACGGGAATGGGAGTCATTCGGAACAGGAGTGGGATGGGAGTAGTTTTCAGCGGGACAGGACAGGATAGGATTAATAATAATAATAATAATAATAATAATAATAATATATTTTTTTACTATGGTTTGTGCCAGGATGGTTCGGGTTTTTGTCTGTGGGAGTGGAATGGGACGGGAGTCAAAATCTACTCCCATCTCATCCTCTAATTGGTACACAAAAACCCATCCATCACAGTAAGGTGACAGCTCAAGTAGGGGCCCCCAACCATTCACATCCGAGGTTACTGCATCCACTCAAAACCCAGATGCACTGTACATGAGCACATGTGAAATGACAGCCTTTGTGCATGCAGTAATCAGTTATGTTGTTCAAAGTTCTTTCAGTGGTTAGATGTGATATTTAGAGCCGATTTGCTGAAAGCTTCAAGGTTAAGTGTTCGTCAACCTTTTTTGCATCATGTGGACAAGTACATGCTTTTCGCGGACCGGCATCCATTTGCTGATGGGGGTTGGTTGCTGGCGGGGCTATACATTTATTTATTTATTTATTTACATTGCTTTTAAAGTGCCAGTTTTAAAGGATTGGGACAGACAACAAAGATAATGACAGAGTACTTCAATATGTTAACATGCATTTCTTTCAGTCAATTCAAATATTTTTATTCCACAGCAGGCTACAACAAATTTAGAGCAATAATAAATAATGCAGTGAAACACTAGAAATGCACCCCTCGGGCATAATCACCGTAAAATGTACACGTAATGATTTTTAAGTTAAGTTTAGCTACACATTCGGTCTTTGTGACTATTATTTTCTGTTTACTGATTCTTCTTTCATTTATCGGCAGAATCAGTTTATATATCAAATTGCAAACCAAAGTTAGAAGGAAAATCTGGACTCTGATTGGCTGCAGTTTCGCACATTTCCACATCATCTCATGGAGTAAATATGCTCACAGCTCATCATATTATATCAATAACATCATCACACTTATATTGCCCTTCAGAAGGTCATCGACAGTGTGATGGTATGGCTGATGCCGCACATGAAGAAAAAAGGTCGCCAGCCATTCACAGGTAGATTTAGACAAACACACTTATATACCAACCTGCAGACAGCATAGAGCAGGCGTCACCAACCTCTGTGAAGCCGAGAGCTACTTCTTGGAAAGGAATTAATGCCAAGGGCTACCTCTCCTACCAGTTTGATACACATTTCTAAAAGAAGAAATGTTCAGCTTTGAATAATGGTATTGTTAGGGTCTGACCTATTTAGTCGGACGGTACAAACTCTTTAAAAAGGTGAAAATAGGCAGAATCATTAGTAGATTTTTGGGGCTTTTCTTCTCAATTGTTAAGTTAAATACTAAATCAGGGGTGTCAAACTCATTTTTTTGTCGCGGGCCACTTTGGAGTTACGTCTTCCCTCGGAGGACCGTTACGGAAGTGAAACCGAATAAATGTTTCTCGGGGTATAATTACTTGTACACAACACATGGATGGATTACTAGTTTTGAAATCACTCAAGTCAACCATTTGTTTGTTGTGGAACGAGGCTAACAAAATTTCAACGTTATTTATTACACGTCACAATTTACCAGTTCGGTACAGATTTTAGCAGTGATCATGATTTGCTTTCACGGGCCACATAAAGTGATGTGGTGGGCCGGATCTGGCCCACGGGCCTTGACTTTGACACCTGTGTACAAAAGGAAAAAGTATTCAAAACGGTCAAATGCTTTGCCTGCACTTCATATCTGTACTATTGTTAAGTGTTAAGGGAGCAAAAAAGTTACTTTAACTGGTAAGCTTTTTTTTTTTTTTTTAAATCAATCAGCCATTGGAATTTAACTCCACCAAATATCGGCATCAGGCAAAAAAAAAATCCTGATAGCTGTAGTTATAATTCATGATTTTAATGATTTTTCATACTAATATATATATATATGTGTATACTGATATGTATACTGTATATGTGCAACATTTCATTTCCATAAGTATCATCCAGTGTTCGTATTGATGATCACTACCACAGCATTCCTGGGAAATCACAACTGTCCTGTCAGCGGTGAGCTATTTTTAGATCAGGCCCGCAGGCTACTCATGAGGCCTTTGGGGGCTATACCTGGGCACCATATTGGTGACTCCGAATAGAGTCTTCAATGAACCTACCATGCATATTTTGCAACATTTTTTTGAACTTTTATTTTGTGCATGCAAATACTGAATGTTTTCTTTTTCTACTTTCTTCCCTCCAATTTTGGTGCTATGGATTGTGAATTTCTCCATTGTGAGACAATAAAGGTTTTCTTATTCGTAAGAGAGGAAGCTAACACCAGCACGGGAAGAACTTCACCCCTTCAGAACTGTGATGGATATGTGCTAAACGACACGACCATGCTGCCTAAGGAGAGACAAATTTCAAGTTGGAACACGGTCTGTGGTGTGCTGGTCCACTTCTAACTTACTCTAATTTCCAACTTTTTAAAAATTTTAAATCTGTATCAGCATTAGAAACTTGCCTCAATAAAACTTATCAGTATATTAACACACACAGGAAATCCTTTTTGTTTTTTTTTCTTAATTCTTAACTGTCATACAACTGCTAATGGGTGCCGTCCGTTGCAGGGTGCACTGGCCTCTTGCACCAAGTCAGCTGGAATAGGATCTGTTGTCAAATGTGTTAGGTTAATGCTGGTAATCAGATGCTAAGAACACATCAGAAACAGGAAGACTCAGGAGGCAGGCATAGTTGTCTTTCTTGCAAGAGAGAGCGCGCTAAAACATGTCTCGGTTCACAATCTCAAAGCAGCTCTCCAGCTGGCTCTGCAATGTAAACCGTTACAGGTTCCGGGGCAACTCTGAAGAGTGCGCGTTTGTCTCCTTGCATTTATTGGAAGGATGTCCCTGATACACGATCTTCTAACGGGAGTGGGGAGTATTTTCACATTCCACAACAGTTTCAGTAAAGGAGAGTTTCAATGAGAACACACAGTTTATTTCTGAGATGTCGTCAAACGGCTCCTGCTGGATGTTGATGGTCCATGGACACAGCTTGGGATGTCCCTCACACAGTGTCCTGGGGTTGATGTTATCTTCTCACAAGCAACAGTTAATTTGACCAGAAGCCGTTCACTTAACAACAAGATATTGTCTTAAAAGCTAGAACAGGAGCAGCCTGAGCTCTCCCGGTCCGACAAGTCTACCATTATCAACCTACCCCATTGTATATGAGGTATTTGCGAGGTATCACTCTGAAACAGGTTTTAAAGTTACACAGAGAGTAAATATGGGATAACAGAATTACATTTATTCCAACAAAATGCAATAAGAAAAAAAATGGACTGAAAGGCCAAAGACATTAACCACAGTTTTTTTTTCTGGTTCTATGGTTATCATCATATTTCTCTGTCATCACCCTTTTGCAAAACAAAAAGAAAAAGCTATTGAGTCAGTTACTCACAGTATGCTTCTGGATGTGTGGTTCTGTAAAAGATCATGTGCATCTTTCTCACCGCAGAGCCTGCGTCATCCTGGGTGTGATTTTCATCTTGTCCTCCTTGTGCATATTGGGTAAGGCAATCCATGACCTGGCCACCAAGCTGCTGCCTGAAGTGGTAAGAGCAAACCTTAGCACACACGCAACTGCACAACCACTTGAGATTTTAGCTTAAGGCACAATCCCAATTGAAGACGAAGGAGAGCTTGTGTTATGCAACGTATGTCAGGTTATCTCATTAATTATGGGTGAAAACATACTGCTGGTTTTCTATCTATTTTTAACTCATCTGCTTGATGATTATTTTACGACTTGGGTCGCATGGGTGGAGGCCAGTCATTCCTCGCATCTCGCACCGAAGCGTTACCACTTAGAAATAAGTACTGCACATCTTTGTTCGAGATTTCTAGAGCAGGTCCGAAGAAGAACACAGCTGTTACGTGATGGGAGATGCCTCTGTGTCAGAAGAAACGCATTTTCACAGTGTGATCATGAACTAAATTGTGGCACATTTGGCTCCTCAACTCAAGCCAAATTATCAGCCTGCTGGTGCGTTAGTAGCAGAGCTGGTGTCATCGCTAGCAGCTGAAGAATGAGTTGGGAGCCTTTGGATGTCTTCAAAAAGCTCGTCCACTGATGCCGCTGGGTCACGGTTGTCTCTGCGGAGAGGGAGTGGAGGATGTGGGAGGAATGGCAACAAAGGTCGAACTCCGAAATCAGGGTGGAAACGTGATTGCATTTGTCGCATAGAATTCCACTCAGTGAGCAGAAACGAATAGGCTTGTGGAACACTTGGATTTAAAAACTACAGGGTACTGAAATCTCCAGATAGAGTCCCTACTTTCTGGTGCTCCTTCGATTTAGCATTTTGAATTCCACTGAGAGCTTTTGAGTGTCAAAAGTAAATGTCAAAGCATAATTCACATTCTGTCCAAGGTTTCTTCTTCAAACATTTTTTTTTCCCTAGGGGGAGTATTTTTCTCCCTCCCATGGGCCCAAATGCCAACCCAAGCTTGGACTGTGTCAATGTGTTGAATTTCAATGCGCTAAAGGTCACTTTGCAGGCTCTCTTCGCACACTTTTTTGAGGCCGCTTGTTTGTTTGGAGTAAGTCTTACCTTCTTATCATCTTTGGTTAGTTGAAGATAAAATAGTCTGCATATGTGAACGTAATTTTGAATGGTTGGCTGTTTATACATTTTAAGTCTTGCAATCGGCTGAGCAGTCTACAACACCCAGTTGCATTGTCTCAGCTCAACATGTGCTTCGGAGTTTTTCGCTTCCATGCCGATTGTTCCATCATCCTCGTCATCCGCTTCATTTTCAGCAGGGTCATACAAAATCATGTCTTTGAGCCCATGTTATTTTTGTGACCAAAAACTTTGTCTCCCAACAGTTTGCAGTTCTTCTCATCCCCCTCAAAAATGGAGTCGACTCCAGTGGCTACTCTTCTCAGTCAGCTGCCGACTCAATGTGCAAGCCATTGGCTTAACTGCAAGTAAGCCAATGGCTTGCACATTGAGTATGAGTATAACTCCAAGTTGCCGTTATGCTCAACATACTTGTGGTACCTTGTGGCTTCTTTCTGTTGGGAAAGTCCCAGTCTTCCTGTTAAGTCCCACCTCCACTCGGATTCCGGGCCCATAACCTGTTGGCAGAGTGGTACAACGCAGCAGTAGTATCACGTCCAGCTATTTCCAGGATCAACAAATCGTTGATCTATTGCTATGATGACGGAGGAATAACCACACACAACCGGCCTCTCCAAAAGTGTGGAAGAAAAACTTTAATACAAAGCAACATTGTTGCATCACATTCCAAAATGCAATACAGCAGCAACACACTAGAACGATGTGAGAGGAATCATCTTAACAGTGGCGTACTCACTTTTGTTGCCATGGGTTTAGATGCTTGTGGAGGCTCTCAGTCGTACAGGAAAGTTCCATCGTATTCTTTCATGTTGTAGAAATATTCAGAGAAAATACAAAGAAATATTCTTTCATGTTGTAGAAATATTCAGAGAAAATACAAAGAAATATTCTTTCATGTTGTAGAAATATTCAGAGAAAATACAACGAAATATTCTTTCATGTTGTAGAAATATTCAGAGAAAATACAAAGAATATTTCTACAACATGATATTCCTGTTTATTTTAAACCGATAAACACATTGAGACAAAAACTAGTACACCCCAAAGACCGGGTTCCCAACACCCAAAAATGCAATCTGATTTATTCCATCCGTTGCCAAGAAAGTGAGTGCAAGGAACATTACATCGGAGAAACCAAACAAACACTCAAGAAAAGACTTTATCAACACAAATGGAAAAACAATGATAACAAAAGTGCAGTATACGCACACTTAAAAGAAACAAACCACACAATTGAAGATGAACAAGTAAAAATCCTAGGAACAGAAAAGAGATGGTTTGAAAGGGGAGTAAAGGAAGCGTTTTTTTGTTTAAAAATTTTCACCCTCTCTGAACCGTGAAGGAGGTATCAGATTTAACCTGTCTCCTATTTACAATAACTTGTTGACCACCAAGGGACATAGACATGCTGATCAGGCTCACTGAAAGTAGCTATTCAGCCTTAGCCCAAACAATAGGCCTAATCAAGACCCAACGATAGGGAATTTAGAAATCAATGGGCCTCTTCACCATAGGGGCGTGACTAACCATCCCCACCCAGTCCTCAAATAGGCCACGCTCAGCTTTTTAGCGCAGAGCAATTTCCCGGAGTCTTCACGGAGACTTCAGGGTTGTCTACCGCTGACGAAGCTTCTGTGAGAGAAGCGAAACGTCCTTTTTTGTTTTTTGTTTTTTACCCACAGGTACAGATGACGACTGACAGAACCCTTTCTACCATGGGTTTAGATATGAATTCTTGTGTTGACTTCTTGTGAAAGGGCAGCTTACACTGTTCTTCGAGCCCCGCCCCGACTATTTAACATTGGAGCCAAATGTTATTTCTTTAGCGCCGTCTCATGAACACATATATATCAGGAAATAATTACAAAAATGACAGATTTTTGTGAGATAGTGTACTTGCAAGAAGCCTTGACTGACTTTATTGTATAAATAGCAACAGGCTCATATGCGGATAAATTGTACCTCCTGCCGTCTCGTGGAAGAACGTTGTATTGTTCGGCCTGCCACTATGCGTCAATAGATGAGTAAAAATATTAAAATGGAGAGTATTCTAAAAACGGGAAGAAGACATCTCCATTTAATTGAATGGTACAGAGTGGTGGATGCAGATATGGGTTCAAATGATCAAACAGAGCCCATCTTCTGTTTGGAGTCATTTATTCAGCTGTGGTCTGGAATCTAACAGGATACAAAACAATCATCAGGAAAGCAAACACAATGCATGTAGCATGCACAGAATCATGGAACCAAGTTACCTAAATTCAATAACAAACCACTTTCATATGAGGCTTAAGAATGGTATGACAGTAGAATGGAACCAGTCTTACCTTTTGGCATACTGGCACAAAAATCAAGGTTGGGTATGCAGGCCGATGCTAAAAAGACGACGGAAACTACATGGACTATTGGGTGCGCTGTTGGGAGAAAAGTCAACAAACCTTCACTCTGTAATACAATTACAACACATGTGGAACCGTAGCGGCGTTTCAAACAATACATTATTTATAGTAAATAAGTAATCATTTTCAATTGAAATGGAATAACTTCCCCACAGCACACCCGATGATATCCCACCCGACACAAATTGTAGTGGCGCAGGGAATCAGTTTCTTAAGAGGTGGGTTGGGGTGATGCAGATTCAATTATCCATTACACAAAAGGAATGCATTTATGAAGTAGCATTATTCCAGAAGGCCAAAATGATCTGACTGAAACTGTGATAAAAGAAAGAATACTCGGTTCAGAACCCCGAGGAATGCTGCGATTGCGCTGCTCGAGTGAATCCATTTCTCGCCAGGATGATTTCCTCTTCAGCGTCTCCATTGTCAGCGGCGTGGTCTGCATCTTCCTGGCCACCATCAAGTTCATGCTGGGCAAGGTGCTCACGAGTCAGGCCCTCATTACAGACGGTACGCCATTCACGCTCCGTGAGAGCCGACACGCAGGTCATGACACAGCAAAGGCGAACCGGCTGCTTGTTTCTCTTTTAAGGCTTTAACTCTCTGGTGGGGGGCGTCATGGGCTTCTCCATTCTCATCAGCGCGGAGGTGTTCAAGCATGAGCCCATGATCTGGTACCTGGACGGGACAATAGGTGTCCTCATTGGCCTGATCATCTTTGCCTATGGAGTCAAGTGAGCGACAGATCCTTTGCACGGTTTCTGCAAGGCCTTTAAAAAAATGCTTTCACCTTGTTGACTTTTTATCTGCAGGCTGCTGCTGGACATGATCCCACGAGTGAGACAAACCAGGAACTACGAGCGCTTTGAGTAACGTCGTGCCGGCTGGCTCACAGTGGGGATGTGGACAAGGAGCAAAAGGACTGGGGAGGGGAACGGTTGAGGCAGCATCCCCCAACCACCTACTTGCCAGAGACTCTGCAGAATCTGTGTGCCGATGCCGACGTCCTCGCCATTCCATTCTTTGAACTGCAGTGAGGATGTTGGGAGTTTTAGAATGTAGCGTACATCAACCATCTTGCTGAGGTTGCCTCCAAATTTGAGTAGGACAAGGGGACTTGCCCTAAGTTGCTGACTGAGACGAGGCTGCTCGGATGAGTGTCGACAAACCGCTTTGCCAAACTTGTCATAAGTTGATTCCCCCCCACCTCAATGTGGCAGCGGAGCAGGTCACGATTGAGTCGGCCCGCAGCAGCAGCGAAACCGCAACAGGAATCTCAAGAACTGTGCTGGTCTGCTACTTTCAAAGAATTCCATTTTCATGGTGGCATATGTGACTGTACCGGAATGTACACACTCTGCTGTTAATCTATTTAACAAGATCACTAAGGATTTTTTTTTTTTAGTAATGGTATCCAAGTAGCTCAAATAGTATTTTGTCCTCACATCTGTGTGCAACTGTATATTTGGGATACTAATTGTATTCTGTTGGAACCGCATGACAATAATTTGTATTGTTCTGTACCCATGTTCCAAATGTAGACACAAAAGTTACTTTTGTATGATGACAACCAACCTGCCGGACACACTGCAACTTAGTCTCAACAGTAAAATCATCTGTTCTGCTGTAATGTCAAATGTTGAAGCAGTCGGAGCCTTTTTTTTCCACTGAAAAAAAAAAGTTTATTTAAAAATTAAATCATAGCCCGCTTATTCATTGAGAAATGTTAACACAAAAATGCAGTCACGTTGTCCTTTTTGCCGCTCGGGATAACCTGTGACAGCATCCCAAAATAAACAAAACATTGAAGCTCATTTGTACAAATGACCAACAGGATGGGCGGTCTGGACCAGTACGCGACACTTCAATAACTCGGTGCGCCACGCAAATTGGGATCAGCTGTTTCCTCAAATGAAAAGGACATTTCTCTTGCTTTGTTCTTTTCGAATGGAACATTTGACAAATCTCATAAAAACAGTGATAAAGAGTAACTGATTGCTGCAGTTTCCCCTTTCAGATGTGAAATGTAGATACCGGTAGATCTGCACTTAAGCCACAGTGGTAAATGTAAATGGAGAGACATATACATGCATTTGTTAAGAGGCATGGTTAAAAGTATAAGGCAAACTCAACTGAACCGGGTGACAATATTTTGTCTCACACAGTTTGTACGACTGCACTCAACTGTCAACATTAGCATGAGGTGTCCGGGCTGGTCAGCTAAGACTGGATTCCAAAGCACTGAAGTAGATGTCATCCAGTGCCACTGCGCTAACAACAGATTCTATCCTACTCATTACAGGCCAATAGCATCCAATTTACTTGAGAGCAGTTTACTCAAGGTAAGGTCAAATATGTGAAGATTGTTGTAGTGGGGGCATGGCGGGGGGGGGGGAATAACCTGGAAACATGGACGTCAGTGAATTACTGCACATAACTGGGGCTCACCTGGAACAAACTGTAATCCATTCAACAAAGTTTCCCACACACACCAAAGTTACCAAATACAATGAATATTTTACAGATTTAAAATATATTAAACTAAAATATGATTAAAGGCGATTCCGCTCAATTCAGCAGAGGAAACCAGAACAACAGAATCTGGTGACAAAATCGGAACAACAGATTCGAGTTGTTCATGGCAGATACATTTTGGACTGAATGTTGTTTCCTTTTTTTCGGGTCCGGTGACAATTTGACGGAAGCGGTACCGTAAAGGCACATCATGCTCTCCGAAACACCGACTTAGCTGCATGCCGCTTATCTGTTAAGAAGGAAAGGAATAGAAAGACAGAAGCAATAACAGTCTGCGTTTCTGTCCTCACAAGTGCAACCTGCAGCGATGACTGTCGCAGTATAACGAGGCACATTTGCTTCTACTGTCCTTTTTAAAAGACAGAGATGAGGAGAATGAAGGTAAACCGCCATTGCTATCCGTGAGTGATGTCAAGCATATGGGGGGCATTGTTATTGATATATTCCAACTACTGCGCCTCTCGCGACTGCAAAAAAAAAAAAAAAAAAAAAAAAAACATACAATGCCTCCCTCTGGTGGTCATACGCGAAAGGACATGCACGCGTTCTGGTATCTTTCCAAATTTCTCTCCATAAATAAAAGACAGCCCTCTTATAAATAAAGAAACAAAAGTTCAAGAGCAAAAACAAAGATGAACGTAACATAAATATAAACTCTAAAACCCCATAAAAGCAATGTACAGTGTTAAAATATAGATTGTTAAACCTGTTTGCAAATACAAATGTAGTGCACTTTTTTCCACGTTTTGGAGTTTTACCATTTCTTGAATTCTTATCTGCAAGCAAAAAGATTATTTTGTTGGCATCAGAGGATTTGGGGGTATTTCGTTGTCAAGGTTTAGTCTATGTTGATAAAGAAAACTTTTCTCCAGAGTTTTCATGTCTCCGAGAAAAATGTCCTGACAATTCATTCTCTTACTAACCTTGGTTGGGCAGTATCACTGATACAGACCACGACAACATATGTCACATGACAATAATAAGAATAAATCTGTCCATAGTGTACCATATCCTAAATCCGCAGATATAAACTCCATCTTCCGTGTGACCCTGAACAGGATACGTGATGAGAAAAAAACAAAAAAAAAAAAAACACGAATGAGTGAATGAATCATAAAAAAATGACAATAATCCTTATCCTGCCACATGGCGAGACCATGGCAGTTTTAGCGACACAACATGGGGCCCTCTATGGCAGGGGCAGGGAACTCCAGTTCCTCGAGAGCCATCTCCTGCCTGTTTTAGGTCCCTCCCTACTGATTCAAACTATCAGCTCATCAGCAAGCTCTGTTGAGGCCTGAACAATTGAATTAGGTGTGTTGGGAGTAGGGAGGGACCTAAAACAGGCAGGATATGGCTCTCGAGGAACTGGAGTTCCCTACCCCTAGACTCTATGGTGTTCCTCATGCTGGGTGACATGGGTGAAACCATTCCTACAAACTACTGGCCTGTATTTCAGCATACACTGTCGGTCCACTTTACATTTTTTCTTACATAATAGATATCTTTAAATTAAGTGTGCAATTTGTGAAATGGGGAGGGGGGACTTCTATGGCAAAATATCTGCAACTAGACATTTCAGAAAATGATCATTACCTCCAGAATAAAAATCTAGATCTCTATACAATAGTTTACTTTCATGACTTTCGTACAGAAGTTTGTTACAGTGTAAAACTAGCCATCTGTTTCGCGTGTATGTGGTGGGATTAGGGGCGTTCCAGTGTAAATCTACCTAAAGAAAGAAGAGATTCAGATTTAGCAGGGAAAAGGATGGCGGGAACGCGCTGAAGAGGGTGGGAGCGGGTCAGCTGCGAGCGTGGGACAGTTGGCTTGCGCTTCTGCTGAACCTGGAGACAAAACGGGACGCCACTCACTGATATGTGCTGCGGGTTTTAAAGTCCAAGATGACTCCCTTTGTTGATTCAAGTAATGTATCATCACTTCTGGTCCAGTCCAGCAGCGGTGCTTCTCTTTAAGCAGTCGACAAAACAATAAATATAATGAACGCACACAGTTCTGTGTTGGTCCGTCCAAAATGCTTCCCTCAGAGGAGTCTGGCTGGGTTTGATCAGACACGGCAGCCCATCCTCTTAAAAGGTGCGCGCTGCCGCTGCTATAGGCAGCTTTTGCACAGTGCCACCTGGCCTTTCATGTAGTCACGGCAGGGGCAGACGCGTTTCAGCGACTGGTGGGCGCCGGCGCAGCTGAAGAGTAGCAGGTCGGACTGAAAGATGCAGTGGCGGCGGCTCTCGCTGTAGGCCGGCACCACGGTGTCGGCGCTCGACTCCACCGTCTGGCAGTCCACGCCAAACCTGTTGAACGAACACAACCACTGAGTCCTCCGGTGGTAACAATCCAACACCGCAATTAAGAGAAGCGCAACACGATGACAAAAAGTAAGTTGCAGTGTCATGCTTGTACGCCACCTGGCCAGGTCCTTGTCCTTGTTGAGGTGTTGAAAGAAGGACGGCTCGCAGATGAGCTGCTCTTCCTGACACACCTGCTTACAGGAGCGTCCTGGCTCGGCCATTTTCACCTGCAGCGCGCTGAGTGGAGGCCACATCACCTGACCGTGACAGAAATCCTGACGACATGACACGTCACAACATCACGCAGCTGCACGGTCCAGCCTCATATGTGCTCCATCAATCCAAGTGAAATCAAGTTTGCGATTTGCTTACTCAAATGCGGCGGGGAATCGAGTAATGTACCTGGTTTTCAATGAAGGCATTGACTCTCTGCAGCATCCCCTCACAGGTGAACTCAAATGGCAAATAAGGCTCAATCTGCTCGCACAAACACAGACATACAAAACTGCCATGATTACAACTGGGATACGGTTCCAACGCAAAAGGCGGAAGTAATTCATGTGCGAGGCTCATCGTTGTAGTCGTACTTCTGTTGTGTGTGTTTTTGTTTTTTTGCAACGGGTCCAACCGACCGCAAGGCGTATTTCACAATACAAGACCTTATTAACGACTCGAGGCAATGACCACCCGGTCTGCTCGGCTAAGCACGGGCAATATTGGCGTTAACACATGCTGGAGCCGGTAAATTCCAAAAGAGAGGCCGAGTCTAAGAATAAGATTTCCCGTAACTGGCGACTGTCGTGTTGTGGTCAGGTGCACTCACATTAGTTAGAAGCGGGATAAATGTGCTCCTATGACAAAAATCCCATGGCCAAGCCAGTTCCCTTCAATAAAATTGGTCTTCAACTGTCGAGTGAAACAGCTGCGTTCAGTTCACCACCGCATGGTTTGTTATGGTAAAACTTGATGTGGCCAGCGTAGAATCGACTGTAAATCAGTATGCCATTGAGTAAATTGTGTGACACTTTTAGGTTGCATCCCGCTGCGGTGGATACCGCTGACGTTGGGTGCTTTTGTTAATGGAATCAAAGAAAACTGTGGAGAAGATTGAAATCAACTGAACTGTAGTGCAATTGGGCCTTTTGAGCAGGGCAGATCGACAAATGACGCTTTTGTTTCTGCACCACCAAATCATCCGTAACAAATTCAGTGACCTTGTGTTGGGTGGTGGATGAGGAAAGATGGATGCGGAAGCAAGCTGGAGCCTGGTTGACTCTGGGATCACGATGCATATAAGGCTCTCACAAATAAACAAAGCCATTGTTCCTCATCTTACAAAGCACAATGAAGCAGCAGCAGCAACAGCAGCCGCAGATTTAAGACCTGATGTATTTCCATCTAGGGTTGGTCGATTAAATGCCAATTTAAAAAAAATGGACTCATGGAGCATTGGATGCGTTTACCTTCTGGCTGAGGATGGAGCGGATTGCTCTTTCTACTTCGGCGGAATTATCGATATCAACAGTCCACACGTGGGGTTGACCGATATAAACCTCAGCGTAGGGATGCTGAGACGTCAGCTGCACACATGGAGGCAAAGAGCGCGTAGGAGGTTGGAACACATTTGTGAAGTGGGGAATTTGAAGTCTGTACAAAGTGTCACCTCTCTCAGGGTGGGCTTTCCCTTGAAGAAATCGGTATTCTTGCTGCTTTTTGGTGGGTTGAACTTTGGGTTGAGGAATGCGCAGCCATTGGCGATGGCCTCCAGGGGGGCAGGACCCTCGTAGGGAAAAGACAGACCCACAAACAACTGCAACAGAGGAAAAATGGCAAGAACGTTCAGGTTAGGAGAAAACCACGTGCAGCGCTAGAAAGAAAAAAAAAAACAGGCATG